CAGTCCCTGGAGAGGCAGCTAGCAACAAACGAGCTGCGTGGCTCGCACGGAGCCTCCCTGTCGGGAAAAGAGGTGGAACAGATGGACGGGGTAGAACCGCTCCCCAGTACATCAACCACCTTTCCACCTAGTTCTGGTCGTGGCCGCGGATTGGGGCCCCGCGGCACAGACCCTACCGGGCTAGCAGGCAAGTCTGCCTGCGGGGCTCAGGAGAGCACTGGCGCTGCCTTGTCTGCCCCCTCATCGACTCCGGGTTCCGACCAGGACGAGATAAAGTGGCAAACTACAAAGAAAAAAAAAAAAAAAAAAACGACAAAAAAAAAACTCGTAACTTTTTCGAAGTGAGGCAACTGACTCACTTTCCCATGTGCTCCGGTTGTTGTCCCTAAAATGGCTTCAGTACTCATACAATGGAAGTGTCGTAGCCTTCTAAGAAACCTGGACGATGTAGAGCATCTTTTGGAGGAGTACAAGCCACGAGCGCTGTGTTTGCAAGAGATTCATTTGAGTCCCAGCCGTACCAATTTCCTCAGACGTTACCAGGTTTTCCGAAAGGATCGTCCGAGCTCTGTCAGTTCCTCTGGGGGAGTTGCGGTGGTTCTCCCGAGAGAAGTTATCTGCACAGAGGTTCCACTATCCACACCACTTGAGGCAGTGGCTGTTCGGTTCATGCACCATAAGGCTCTTAAAGTATGCTCTACATATCTTCCACCTTCTTTTACTTGGAAATGTTCAGATTTTGATTCGTTGTTCCACCAGCTCCCTGAACCTTTCTTTTTGATGGGCGATTTTGACTATGACAACCCTTTATGGGGGAGCACACGTTTGGATGTCAGAGGAAAAATTGTTGACTCAGTTTTAACCACACGAAGTCTTTGTCTTTTTAATACCGGCCAGCCAACCTATTTTAGTCCATCATTTTTGTCATCAACTTCCATCGACCTTTTCAATTGGTTCTGCTACTTGCTTTCCAGATTTTTCCTGGAAAGTAGATTCCAATCCACGTGGAAGCGGTCATTTTCTACTCTTTTAAGCTGTAGCGTAGCCCCTCCCCTCTTTTAGTTCATACACGCCCGCCTCGTTGGAAGCTTGACAAGGCTGATTGGGGCTTTTTCAAACCGGCATCGCTTTTAGCAAATTCTTGTCTCGATAGTTTCACAATTGACGAACTTAATTATCTTTTAACCGAGCGCATCATCACAGCAGCCAAGTTGTCTGTCCCGCAGACATCTCAATTTCTTCCTAGGAGGCCAAAGCCCGGGTGGAATTTGGAATGTGAAGAGACGCACAAGGAACAAAATCGGGCTTGGGGTATTCTGAGACGATACCCCGCTAGAGATAACCTCATATCCTTTCGGAAAATGAAGGCCTGTGCACGCTACGTCCAAGGAAAAGCCAAATGGCAAAGTTGGCAAGGCTATTCTTCTAGTATAAATAGAAGTACCTCACCTAAGGAGGTCTGGGATCGAATACACAAGATCAATGGTTCCTATCATGCATTTAACATCCCCCTGCGTTTTAGTAATGGAACATTCCCAGACACACTTGAGGAACAAGCTGATGTTTTTGGAGAACATTTTGAATATATATCCAGTTCATATCATTATTCATCTAATTTCCTTCAAACACAAACTAAAGGCTGAGAGCAATCCCTTGAAAACCTCAGGAGGTGAACAGAAGGGATATAATGCTACAGTCAGCTTGCACGAGCTCCTCACAGTTCTTCATAGCACAAAGCCCTCAGCTCCGGGATGAAATGGTTTCCATTATTCAATGCTACAGCATCTTCATCCTTCTACACTCGACGTCATTTTATATCTTTATGACCGCGTATGGCAGGAGGGATATTTTCCTTCATCTTGGAAGGTAGCACATGCCCTTCCACTTTTGAAGGCTGGTAAGGATGCTTCTTGTGTTTCCAGTTATAGGCCCATTGCTCTTACCAGCTGTCTCTGTAAGACACTGGAGCGAATGATTAATCGTAGACTAACGTACTACCTGGATCATGGTAAGGTGCTCGACACATTTCAGTGCGGCTAATCGTTCATCAAGGTCGACAGTCGAGCACTTGGTCCGTCTCGAAACTGTTGTGCGTGAGGCCTTTGCAAACAGGCAGCACTGTTTCTCAGTGTTCTTCGATCTCGAGAAAGCTTATGACACGGATTGGCACTTTGGCATTTTGGGGGACCCATTAGACCTCGGACTACGGGGTCGCATGCTTCGTACAATTCAGAGCTATTTAGACAGGCGCACCTTTCGAGTCGAGCTAGGAAACACACTTTCCCGCGAACTTCTGCAGGACAATAGAGTGCCGCACTGGAGAGTACTAAGTGTCACCTTGTTTATAGTTAAAATGAACTTCATTGCTTCTGTAATCCCTCCGTCGGTTCAGTATTCACTTTACGTCGATGATTTACAAATTTCAGTTTCCTCCTGTAACCTCTCAGTCTGTGAACGCAGGGTTCAGCTAGGCATCAACAAGCTTACTGATTGGGCTGACAGTAATGGATTTAAGTTTTCTCCTGAAAAGACTGCATGAGTTTGCTTCACCCGCAAACGTGGCATCCTTCTTGAGCCACCCCTAACAATCTACAATAACAATGTTAGTGTCCAACTTCAGCACAAATTTTTGGGTCTTACGTTTGATAGTAAACTGAAATTTAATGCTCATGTAGAAAGCCTGAAATTGATAGCTCACAAGTTTCTCAATATCCTTAAAATTATCTCGCACAGGTGTTGGTGCTCGGATCGATTGTGTCTCCAGCGGATCTATCGCTCTTTGGTACGCTCCCGACTAGACTATGGCTGCTTTGTTTATGGTTGAAAGTAGTGAAAGCGCACAATAAAGACGAATACGAAGACGGAGAGGCAAACAGGACGAGCGCTGACTATCAACTGAATTTTTTATTCGAAAAATTGTGCGCTTTCACTACTTTCAACATGCATAACCTACTCGCCTGCATCGCCATATTTGTTCATGGGCCTGCCAGACAACCTGTGCTGAAGATGTTGGTCCCATTCATCATCTTGAGGTTCGTTTGGCTACAGGTTCCTTTCGTACATCTCCTGTGCCCAGTTTATATGCAGAGGCTAATGAGTGTTGCCTCGAAAGACGTAGATTCGCATTGAGCATGATGTACTTTTTCCGCATTCGATCTGTCCTCCAGCACCCCACTCGAGAAGTTGTTAAAAAAACACGCTCGGAACGACTCTTTCTCTAAAAACCTAGCGTGATCCCTCCATTCAGTATGCGATTGAAGACCTTGGCCGAGTCTGTCAGATTAGATGTGGCATCCCAGATAGTCCAATTCCCTGGCATCGTAGCACCTTGGGAGCACCCTGACAAACACGGCAACCTGTCTCTTGTAGAGTATAACATGAAAAGCACTCCAAGTTCTGTGCTTCTGCAAGAATTTCATGAACTTGCTCAATTGTATGACGATTTTACAAAGTTATATACAGATGGAACAAAATCTGAGATCTTTGTTGGTTGCTCTGTCATTGGCCCTTCAGTGGAAGTTGTAAGGCGGATAAATACTGCTGCTACCATTCTCACAGCGGAGCTGTATGGCCTCCTGTTGGCTACGGAACACATAGCCCGCCACAGGATACCCTTGGCAGTGGTTTTCACTGACTCTCTTAGTGCCTTGCGAGTCATCTCTTCACTGCTGCCTACAAGGAACTCCTTGTTGTTGAAGTTCAGAAGAAAATTATTGTGGCAGCCAGAAAGTATGGCACCATTGTCTTTTGCTGGATTCGTAGCCATGTTGGTATCCCAGGCAATGAGGCGGCCGACCGTGCTGCCCGCACGTGCGTCAGCAGAGAGGTAGATATTAAAAGGGTCCCTTACATGGACTATCGCCCTTCTGTAAGGTCTCGCATACGAGCACAATGGAAAGCCGAGTGGAATGAAGAGATCTACAACAAGCTGCGTCTCATTAAGCCAAACCTGGGTGAATGGGTGAGCGCCCGGCACCAGGAACGATTTTATGAAGTAATACTGTGTCGGTTGCGCATTGGCCACACGCATCTGACCCATGGCTACCTGCTCCGTGGGGAGGATGCACCTTTGTGTGAAGAGTGTGGCAAAACTTTAAGTGTTCTCCATTTTCTAATTAAGTGCCCTTTCTATGAACGGGAACGCCAATCTCACTTCGCACAATTATACAGAAATCACATTCCCTTACACGCAATGTTGTTATTGGGTGATGAACCATCCATGACTTACAGGCAGGATTTTAAGTTTTTAGATGCTATTGGTCGTCTACATCGACTGTGAACTTTAAAGATTTTCACTCATGCCCATTTTTGTTTGTGACATTCTCCGGCTCATGTCTCATTCCCTTATTTTTAACCCTGACCACAAGAGTCCTTTCTTCTCGCTTACCCTCAATGCCATAGTTTTCTTCTTAGGTGCTCTTTCGCCTTAGCAGCCCTTGCGTCATAAAACCCCAATCCAACCAATGAAGATAACAAGTGACAAATAAAAGCAGTGACCCATAAGTGCCTTGAATAAATTTTAGCCTTCAAAATGATTTTAAATCCAAACTTGGGCTAAGAAATTTCTTTGAGCATATTCCAAAATAAAGGCTTACACAGCAGTTGTATCTACGCTGTTGTTCGTCGTGTTGGATTGACGTCTCGAACGTTCAGACCTCATATATAATCCTCATGGTAGTATCTTCATCTTCTTTCTTCAACAGCCTCAAAATGGCCACAATTAACTTGGCACAGATGCCACCCTCTAAAATGATGATTGTGATCAGCACTGGCTGGAATGACCTTTGAAAGGGTTTATTACATTGAGCTTCATATCTTACTGCTTAGGTTATTGCATCAAATAAGCACTTCCCAAAGTTTTAATGAAAGCGCTTCGATAAGAAAACAAACAAAAACGATCATTTGTTCTCTTTAATAGAGTCGCGCAGTGTACGTAGAAAGGCGTTCAACGCACAAGGTAAACCTATTCACGATGACGAAATAGAATCAAGACAACTCACATATTTAAACAATTCAGTAATCTCGGAAGTCTGCAAAAGCCAATCGGGATATCCTACGGAAATTGCCATTTGGTCAACCTGCAAATAAACCGAGAGATGAGAACTACATTTGCCCCGCAGTCGCAAGACTAGCGTAAGGTAATAGCGCGTACCTTCTTCTGTGCATCCGTTTTTGTTTTAGCTTGTAGCCAAGGCTTTTGAACCAATGTCTTCACTGCTTCTTTCACTTTGTTGGTAATTTCTTTTACCTGTTAAGTGGCACGTAAAAAACAAACAAGCTTATACATCTACCGCCTTCAGTTTAGTAAAGATTCAAGCTGTCGTAAGTGGCATAAAAAGGAGTGGTCATGTTCCTTTATTGCTTCATATTCTGAGCTTGCCGCTCGGCAGCTCCCAACTATAATTTTTTGATTCTAACAATACGCACGGATAAGCTGACCGTAAGTATTAGGCCAGTCTTAAAGCTGAAGTATTCCTACTTAATATCATGTGGCACATTTTATTAAGGAAGGTGTTGACTTCGGTGAAGGAAACGCATTTTGAAACCCTATACTTACATAAATACATCGCTGTATAATACCAGACAGCGCACGTGTCGTTATGTCCTACTAGAGTGATGAATATTTTTTTTTTCAGCGTTGCATCAGATTCATCACATTTAATCTGTAGCAATTGAGGATTTTGTAGAATTGACTGTTTTAGCTGATCGCGTCGCTGATCTTGACGTTGTGAATAAATTAAAAAAAAAACACTTAAATTGTTTATGCAGCAGTTCTTTGCAGGTAGTATGACACTACTGATCATGTGTTGACAGGTGTAAAGGTTATTGCTCAAGCACCCGAAGTATCATGAAGCGGTATCCTAGGCAGCTGGCGAGCCACCGATGCATCATGAAGCAGAACGCATAATTTCCTTTTGATTTCGCGGCACCTCCAATTCAAAGTTTTCGATTGCAGTACTGCTATGTGGTTCTGAAGCATATATTGGACGTTCCTGCCTACTGTAAGAATTATGTTACTCTAGGGAGTATGTAAACATTACAAATGTATTTCGATTTGTTTTTGCAGTGACACTTACATACAGGGTATTTGTTTTTAAGCTTAACATATTTGTTTAACGAAGTTTTGAACTTTAGTGCACTGCCACGGTTCTCACGCGCTCTAAGTCTTCCTGAAATTGCTCATTTAGTGGTTTTCGATAGCGCTCAGCAAGTTTATAATCGGAATCATATGTCTATTTTCACTATCTAAGAGGGTAATTAGTAATTTCCAATGAATTATTCAACTAATGAGTAAGTACCGCGCATTTTCTGACTTCCGCCTCCTCGAGTAATACGGTCCCGAGAAAAATATGTTTTTATTTGCAATACACTAATTGCAGGAATTTTTTCTATCTTACGTGAGACGCCCTATATAATACAACTGTTCGCTCTTTCCATGTTAGCCCTTAAAAATCTGATTTGTAGGCATATTACTTTTTAAGTCATGGTTAGCTACAGCATATTTGGAAAATCCCTTCCCCCGAAGGTGGAGTATTAAACAAATGGCATAAAACAGACTTCAAAATTTCGTGACAAGCATTGTCAGTTATAGTCACAATAAATATTGCAAACTAATCTTGATGTCTTTTTAACGAGTCACCTTATTATTAGCGGGGCTTGAACTCCCAAGAGTAAGTTTTTTCAACTGTCCTAATTCCTTTGGCATAACATGATGTATTTAATTTAGAGCTTCACCCGCACTAAATTACTATTCAATATGACGAGTTAAATGAGTATATTATTCTTATCTAATGCACATTCTCATTAGAAGAACGGGTAACAACACAAGGACCTTATAAATTGTCTAACGACTTACTAATGACTGACTATATTTAGAGCGCAGCTCTTAGGCTCCCATTTCTGGCTTGAGCGGCGCCACCGTCGCCGTCGCCGTCGGCGTAACCGCACTTTTCAGGGCGCCGAAAATACACAAGGACAAGATACAAGAAAGGAGACGTGAACAAGGCTTTCTTGTATCTTGTCCTTGTGTATTTTCGGCGCCCTGAAAGTTATCATGAACCAACTAGCGCAGATTGCCATTCTAAAACGTAACCGCACGTTGCATTGTGGGACGTTTCTCATAATGACGTCAGATGTGGCGTCACGAAGGTCTCTCGTGACCCATGCATTGCATTATAGGACGTTTCCCATTATGACGTCACGAGTGGCGTCATGAGCGTCACGAGGAGGAGGAAGGAGGAGGAGGAGGGAGGAAAAGGAGGAGGATGGGAGGAGGAGAGGATGAGGAGGGGGAGAAGAAGGAGGGGATGAGGAGGAGAGAAGTGAGGGGGAAGGGGCGGAATATGGAGGAGGAGAAAAGGAGGGGATGATGGAGGAGTGGAGAGGAGGAGGAGGGAGGAGGATATGATGGAGGAGGAGGAGAAGGGGAGGGTGGGAGAGGAGAAGAGGAAGGGAGGAGGGAGGAGGGGGAGAATGGGGAGGAGGAGTGGAGGAGGATGAAGGAGAAGGAGAAGGAGAGATGCCAGCTATCCGTTGTGCAGGCAAATGATATCACCATTCATAAATCAGAGAGAGGCACGTATGAAAACGTGGTGCACTCGTTATCAATTGGCCATCTAAATGGTTGCGGGTCTGTGCTTTACCCGTCAATCTCTGTGACATGTTAGACGAAGTTGGTAAATTGTGTGCCGCCAGGGTCGACAACGACTCGCTCCTGGTGGCTCTGTATCTCTCGCCTACAGCGCTTACCAAATATTTCGTGGAAGACGTAGAAGAACTTCATACCACTCAAGCAGGAAAAAATCCCATTGGCCCCGAGATACTAGCACTCGCTGTTCTGCTGTGACATCTCGGGGGAGCACGCTCAAGACTAATTAATGCTGAGGAAATCAAAAACGCCCGGCAATCTTCGAAAGAGCCAAAAGCAAGTAGGATGACATCGAGAGTAGCACGCGCTTCGTCAGAGTGTTGACTCTAACGCTGTCTTGTTTTCCCGCCTTACTCCTGCTGTCCTGTTTCCTGGCACCGGCAGAACATTGATAGAGTGGAGCTTCCAGATGTGAGAACTATATTTTCTGTCTCCGGAAAAGCGGTGGATTTGTTTTAAAAATAGTCATGAAAGCTACACTTAAAGGGGCCCTGCAAGCACTTTTTTACTAATTTTTAATTTGCACCAAACCTGAGCGCACTGAACGTAGTAACTTAGGGTAACTTTTATTTTCTTGAAATTCGCTTTATTTTAAAGGTTATAGGCAAATCAAAATTACAAAAGCCAGCAAAAAATAACCTCCCACATGACGTCCTTGGTTGCTTGAGCGGCCGTGAACTAGAGGAGGGGTAGTGAGCTCATCGCGAGCGCTCACAGCTGCCGCATTCCGTGTCGACGGCGCGAGAGGGCGCCACTAAAGCATGTTCTGGACAGGCTGTATGCAGTGGGCAGCCAGAGAAGCTCTCATTGCCTTTGCTGCGTGGTTAAACACTAATTCGGCATGACACTTCATTGGCCACAAACGACAGCAAACACGGGGTAAAGATCAGTTCAGAATGGGAGCCACTTCGCGCTGCCATACCGCGAAACGGCCAAACCGCAAGACAAAGCATCTCGCCGACGGCCTTCGGAAGGCCCGGAGCCGGTTGGATCCTCCTGCCCATACGACCGCAGCGCTGCCGCGTACATCCGGGACCTTTCCGTGTCGGCGCCTGATCCCACTACTTCTTTCTAGTATGCGCCACCTTTTCCACCGCTTGGTGGCGGGTATGTCGACGGGTCATTTCTTGTTTCCGTACTTTATAAACTGCATTTGTTTCTTTTCTCATCTAAAATAGTGAACAAAAACTACTTTTATAAGTAATTGAAACGGTTCGCGACACTTGTATTTTGTATTTCGACTAAAAAGAAGCTTTTAGCGGCTCTGACCAGTAGTAAGCCCAGGACCAAAGACGTCACATCTTGCGCGCTTTCGGTACCGCGGGTCGCCCTCGTCAATGGAGGAGGTTTCCGCGTCGTCCGGTTAAAATATGACGCACTGATATTTAGTTACTCTCTCCGTGCCCGCTGGCTTGCCCGAACTTCAAGAGACGTGGAAACCGTAAAAAAGGTAGACGCTTAAATATGATTGCAGGGCCCCTTTAAGCGGTTTGTGCGAGTGAGCTATACGCCCAGGGGAACATCATGTGGATGGCTAATGGTTGCGATAAGGCGGCTAAAAAAATTAAAATTCACTAATTAACTTTTTATTGAAAGAAAATAGACATATGGTTCCAATCAGAAACCTGCTGAGCGCCGTCCAAAATCCCTAAGTCAGTAATTTTTAGAAATACTTTGAGCGCGTGTAGAGCGCAACAGTGCGCTGAAATTACCACTCGTGGAGCAGGTACAAGGCTGGGCCTAAATAAAAGACGGAAAAACTGTGCGGGCGCCTTACCGAAAGAATTGTAACTAGTTAGCCGACGTATCGCAAAGATTAGCCACCCATATAATGCCCCCCCCCCCCCCCCCCCCCCCCCTGGGCGTATAACTCACTCGCACAAACCACATAAGTGTAGCTTTCATGGCTTCTTTTTAAAAACCGTCAATAATAAATAAAAAAGACACCCTGTATGCATCTATATACTGTAAACGACAAAATTTTCGCGAAGACCTAATTTTCGTGAATTTCGCGAGTCGCCTACGATTCGCGAGAAATGCGTCCCACGAACAATTCGGGCAAAACGTGAACTCTACGGATGCAGGGTGTTTCAGAGAACACAGGCCAAATCGCTCCTGCAAAAACTACTCATCGCAACGAAAAAAGGCTTGTGGCGCTTTGGTCCTGGGCCATGGGCCCATTTAGGAAAATTATTAAAGTCCGCGATAATTAAGTTGTTAATTAGTTTTGCGGAATTAACTTAATGTTTTCTTTAAGGGCATGGTCTAAATTAGAGAATTGCTCAGAAGAAGAAAAGAACCCTTAGTGAAAACAGCAACGGACGATTTAATCTTCGACGTTTTCGGAGGCCAGACTCCGGCCGAAACGTCGAAGATTAAATCGTCCGTTGTTGCTGTTTTCACTAAGGGTTCTTTTCCTCTTTTATATATATATATTTATATATGTATATAGGTGAAGTAGGGTAAATATAAAAGCAATGAACCGGGAAAAGTTAATAAGTCAAAGATGCGTACTGTCGGAGTTACTGCCGCGTGTTTTTGCGAAGACTTCCAAAAATCCTAAACATTAGGGCGCTTGAAAAAAAAAAAAAAACTGTCATTGGGAACAAACTACTGGCCACGGAAGACGTCACGAATAGCCAAAAACACAGTAATTAGCCTGCTAAATAATTAAAATTTGTTAATTAACTTTTTAATTAGTGGAAATAGACCTATGATTTCAATAAGAAAGTTGCCGAGCGCTATCGAAAACCACTATATAAATTATTTTCAGAAAGACTTCGCGCGCGTGAGAAGAGCAGTAGCGTACTAAAGTTACCACTAGTGGAGCAGGTACGAGGCTGGGGCTAGATAAGAGGCGGAAAAATCGCGCAGGCGCCTTACTAGGGAGCCTTCATGTGCGCTTTGCTAGGTGGTGCCACCCTTTGTAATACCACTCGCCGACAAACCAGCAGACATTTTGGTCTCGGCGGTAATCCGTGGGGCTTATAACCCTCCCGGAAACAAGCACCTTATCTCACATGTTCGGAGCAGCGTTGTGGAACCCACGGAAGGAGGATTAGCATTTCCCCCCTCGGATGGGGGGACTGATGTACACAAAGGCCACTTTCCGGCGCACGGGAAACGCACGGGGAAACAATGAGGAACAAGATGGCGGTGGGAGAAAGGGAAACAGGCAGTTGCCATCACTCTATGCGAAGCGCACATGAAAGCACCCTACGCCTTACCGCAGCCGCTAACCTTGTACCTGCTCCACGAGTGGTAACTTTAGTGCGCTACTACTCTTCTTACGCGTTCAAAATCTTTCTGAAAATGACTGATTTAGTGGTTTTCGATAACGCTCAGCAACTTTCTGATAGGAACTATATGTCGAGTTCCACTAATTAAAAGCTAATTAACAAATTTTAATTAATTAGCTGGCTAATTAGTATGTTTTTCGCAGTTCGTGACGTCCACCGTGGCTGGTATAGTTTGTTCCCAAACGCCCTAATGTTTAGGATTGTTTAAAGTCTTCGCAAAAACACCCGGTATATATATATACCGGGTGTTTTTGCGAAGACTTTAAAATATCCTAAACCTTAGGGCGTTTGGGACATCAACCAGAAGAAGAGGACATTTCACAACCATCCCACCCTGAAGAAAAGCGGTCCCCGCTTGAAACATTGGTGCAGTAAAGAAAGGCCTTTCCTGGAGCTCCTCCACTTTCGTTTTACGTCCAACCGGCCCGTTGAACCTCTTCACCGTGTATATATATATATATATATATATATATATATATATATATATATATATACAACACGGGCACTTCACGTCATCGTACGTGGTCTCCGAGGGGGATATAAACGAATATGTGCAGATGAATGAACCGTACTTAATCCAATGAATTAAAGAATCCAAGTTTTTCAGGAACCCGCCGAAAGCCAAAAAATGACGGAGCCAGGATTTGAACTCTGGGCCTCCCAATGTCCGGTCGGGTGTGCTAACCACTACACCACTCCACCAAGTGGTGGAGTGGTGTAGTGGTTAGCACACCCGACCGGACATTGGGAGGCCCAGAGTTCAAATCCTGGCTCCGTCATTTTTTGGCTTTCGGCGGGTTCCTGAAAAACTTGGATTCTTTAATTCATTGGATTAAGTACGGTTCATTCATCTGCACATATTCGTTTATATATATATATATATATATATATATATATATATATATATATGCGCGCTAGAAAACGCACTTCAGGCGGTTGTTGGAGTTTTTAAAACATATTCCTCGCAAAGTTCGTCGATGTTTCGGCCTGAGACAAACCTTTTTCGAGACGTTTCGGCCTGAGACAGTCTCGAAAAAGGTCTGTCTCAGGCCGAAACGTCGACGAACTTTACGAACAATATGTTTTGAAAACTCCAACAACCGTCTTAAGTGCGTTTTCTTCCGTATATACTTTTCGCCATCCTGCGCTACGTTTTCTCTCTGTCTATATATATATATATTGTTTAGCATGGTATATCGCCAAATCGAAATACCTCAAGAGAGGAGGAGGAGGAAGGAGGTGTGGAGGAGGAGGTGCAAAGGGGAGGGGAGGAGCATGGGAGGAGGAGAGAAGGAGGAGGGTAGGGGGAGAGTGTATGGATGAGGAGCACGGGCATATTCTCTTCTCCGTTCCCTCTCCTCCTCCTCCTAAAGAGCTGCGCTCTAATTCGGCGTTACAGGGGATTGTAAACGTCTGTCATTTTTTAGCTGGATTTACATTGGTATTGACCTACCGAAAATGGTGCTCAATTTTTGAAAGCAGGTCACTGGCCTATATTCCCTAACACGAACTAACGTCTTGTGTACATTTCAAAATATTTTAAAAAGGTAAGAATTACAAAACAGTATACATGCTCACCTCGTCCCGAATTTGTTGGTCCTTAAAAAAGTTCTTAACATAAAGTTGACCGAAAGCGTGCTTCATAGTAACCATCAGGTCCCTTATGCAAAGGCTCGTAAAATCCGTCTGTGGTGGTTGATTGTAAGTAGGATCGACAGTTTTCAAGAAACTTGTGTAGTAGGAAAACAAATCTGATCTTGAGAACTTAACGAGTTGAGATAGGTATTTATACCCAAGGTAGTTATAGAGCACCTCCCTGGTATTGCAAAAAAAAAAGAAGAGTAGAAAACATCATGAGTAAAACGTGGAACTTAGTAAGCTCATTTTTAAACCTACAGTCATTGCGTCATGCTTTTAAAGCGCAAGTACTATATTGAATGTACATATGCCACGCGCTGTTTACAAACCAACCCGCACTTGTCACCCCCCCCCTCTCCCCACCCCCAAGGGGCCAAGGCGTCTGCACTGCGCGTACGTGGAAACTACATCCGCGCGTGGTCAGGTAACTGGTCATGCCCAGTGCTGAAGGCAGGTCCGCACCAATGGCTATATTATGGGTAGCGCTGGCCTATAAACTTTATGTGCTCGGGCAGATGGCTAACAAACGTTCTATTTCTCAAAAACCAAAAAATTGTTAGTAAGCTGTCATATCACTTATATAAAGACAATGCATATTTAATATTCGTAAAATCTAGACAACATTTTTCAATGTTGCTTTCAGATATAAGGATCGCGTTTGTAGCTTGTATATTTACCATGTGCACGTAAACGTTTCCTAACAATCAAACTTGAAAATGCCAAAATGTTTCAATTAGTAGCTTGTGCAAGGCATATTAAATAATTAAGTTTGCACAAGAGTCAGGTGGGGTATTTGCAAGGTAACGAAAATATTGCACATATATGCATTAAATATATATATATATATATATATATATATATATATATATATATATATTTTGTGTCAGCCTTCAAGACTAAAGTATATATAAGGTATTTAGCGCACAAGGTAAAGGGAAGAAGAACAGGTGAGAAAAGAGCGCTACCCACAACTACGTTTAGAGACAAGAAAATAAAGAGAAAGAAAAACCCAAATAATCCGCCGCGGACTCGTGCATCTACCACCAACCCCGCGAATGATAGTGGCTCGTTCACCCAGGCTCGTGTGGGCCCTTCATAGTTTGTTGAAAGAATTTCTTTTCCTTGTTTGACAGCATTACGGATTCTACACTAACACAATTCCTGTCCTTACGGAGGATGTAGAAGGCCTCCAGTACCTCGCGAGTCAATTCGTCTTTGTTCTTCACCATGATCTTGGTCTCGCCGAACAATAATCTGCACGTGCACTCGCTGCAATAGACTGGAAGATTTCCGCCTACTGTAGGCCTTCAAGGAGTAACCATGCTCCCAGAGTCGGTCATTAGGGCATCTGCCTGTTTGACCTATGTATCTCTTCCCACACGAAAGAGGCATCTTATATACGACGCCTGGAGCGCATGGAAGAAATTTGTTTGCATGCTTCTTGGTGCATTTGTGTTTTGTGGTACCCTCAGCATGCGCATTGACTCTAGGGACAATTTGACATATTTTTTTTTGTGCTGCAGAAAAAACTGCTCTTACCCTATAGCGGCTTGCGACGCTATGGGGTCTATGGGGTCTATGGGGCGCTAGTTTTTTCAGCACCACTAAGAATGACTCAAATTTGCCATAGAGTCAATGCGCATGCTGAGGGTACCACAAAACACAAGAGCACCAAGAAGCATGAAAACAAATTTCTTCCATGCGCTTCAGGCGTCGTATATGAGATGCCTATTTCATGTGGCAAGAGCTACGTAGGTCAAACAGGCAGATGCCCTTATGACCGACTCCGGGAGCATGATTACTCCTTGAAGGCCTACAGTAGGCGGAAATCTTCCAATCCATTGCAGCGAGTGCACGTGCAGAAGATAATTGTTCGGCGAGACCAACATCATGAGGAAGAACAAAGACAAATTGACCCGCGAGGTACTGGAGGCCTTCTACATCCTCCGTGAGGACAGGAATTGTGTTAGTGTAGAATCCGTAATGCTGTCAAACAAGGAAAAGGAATTCCTTCAGCAAACAATGAAGGGCCCACACGAGCCTGGATGAACGAGCCACTATCATTCGCGGGGTTGGTGGTAGATGCATGCACGAGTCCGCGGCGGATTATTTGGGTTTTTCTTTTTCTTTATTTTCTTGTCACTAAACGTAGTTGTGAGTAGCGCTCTTTTCTGTCCTGTTTTTCTATCTACCTTGTGCGCTAAATACCTCAATATGTTAGACTACCAACTAGCCAAAATGTCAACTTTACTGGGACTAAAGTAATTTTCCTCGCAGGACTTTTCTATGAACTTTATGATTTCTTTTATGCTAATTATAGAATGAATGAATAAATACTACCAGTTGCTCCAGGATAAGTACCGGACGCTTTATGAAGAATGGGCTTTATGCACGGACATTATATTAAGGTCATAGGTCTATCCGGTATCTTAAACTTATAGTTCTCAAACATAGTACGGGACGATTGTTCTACAGGTTATTTTTTATAAAACGCTCACGCATTACTAAATGTATACAAGACATAAGTGTGAAAATATGTTTTAAATTAAAAATATACGAATAAAGAGAAAAACCACAAAAAGAAAATAATGAATTTTGTGTTTCTACATTTTCTGGTAGTAATTACTAGTCTGCGCCGGCCTCAAATATTCCCAATATCTCGAACTTCACCCAAGCGTTGGTAGGGTGTGGACCATTTTATAGTGATGCCATTCGGGTGCGGCTGCGTTTTGACCCATCTTTATGAACCGTGTCTGAAATGCGGTGGGTTGACTATGTGGTATTGGGCCCAGACCATAAGACGGACCAGTCTAAAAATAGCGATTTAGGAGGTACATTTATAGAACTAGCGTGACGTCTAAAGTTCGCTTGCTCGTTATATTTTTGACAAGCTTTGTATGTAGTCAGAACTTTCTTAGAAAGTGATATCTAAATTGCTTATAAAGTATGTCTTGTCCTGTGATTCCCGGAGTTGCAGAAAAATGCATAAAATAAAATATTTCCCGGTAGCAATGAAACCCTACTACCGTCAAATTTGGCTGTGCATGGTTGTTTTAATTGAGAATGCATGCTGAAGATCAAGAAAAACATAAGCTTGACGTGACATCTGAATAAGATGATAACATAAATTATAGACGCGTTTTAGATGTCAAGGAACCCTTTCTGGATTGCTTTATGTGAGACTGATTTGGCATTTTTGTTGCATTTTTAAATGTTTCTATGGCAGTGCATGATTTGTTCTTGTTTTTCTTGTGACTGCTAATTTATTGTAAAATTTATTACTTTTGATCTTGTGTGTCAGCGCTTAGTTTTATCGTCTTTTAGTTGCACACTATTTTTGGGTCACTATTCTTTCCAAGTAAATGATTTATATTTTACAGATGTTTTCAATACATATTGGAGCAGCCATTGTACGTACGGGTAAGAAACTAAGCAAAGTTATCGGCATTGGGGACTCATCCCAAGTTCTCGTTATAGTAAATTTAACATCCCAGGTAACACAGAGCTCTTGGCCAAAATTTGGCAAATGTTTGGGAGTTTTGGGCCTTCAGACGCCCGAAGAAACCTAAGTAAAGTCAAATCTGAGCCACTTTGTCAAGAGTATACGTAGGGGTATCTTGGCCCTAATTCGCCAGAGAAGTTCCAGAATTAGGCTTCACTTCCGAGTATTTCGGCTGTTATTTGTTCGCTCTGGGCCCAAATCGCAAAACGAGTGCAAAAGTCAGGCTTAAAGACAGGTAGTTAGGCTGTTATCTCGCATTTTTGAACCCAAAATGCCAAAGAAGTGCCAAAGTTAGGCTTCGCTCCCTCATAGCTCAGCTGTCATCTGGCAACTATGAGTCAAAGTCGCAAAACAAGTGTCAGAGGTAGCCTTAGTGCCTAGGAGTTCGGCTGATGATGTATTGGTTGTACACGGGTGGTCTGCAACTTATAAATTTCAAGTTTAGATTTTGTAAACAGAAATAAATAGCAATTAAATAGATATCAAGTTCAATTTTACTCGGCACATTTTATTGTATTTGGTGTCTCTTGATTTCTCCAGTTAAACTGAATTTTTTTGCCGTAGCTGGATCAGGTAACGGTGATTCCGCAAACGCAGATTGCGCCGGATGGTTGTACTCGCGCGTAGGTACACGCGCATATACCAGGACGCGTCGTGAGACTGGTTCGACGTCACGGCAGCTGCTGCCATCGTGAAAGCGCTGAGCGAGACTGATGCGCGGACGTCTCCTCAACAAATAGCATTATTAGGCGGCGCATTGCTAAAGCGAGCGTAGCTCTATGCGTGTCTTGTATAACTAGCGATAACGAAAAGGGGAAGCGGCCATGGTTTGTGGTACTGCGTCCGCTTCGGACTCGGGGAAACTAAGGTGAAATCCTGGTGGCGACGATTTGCTTAGATAAAATTAGTAGAGCGTGTTGGTTAAACATCTTGGTACGCGAACGGAAAATGAAAGAAGGGACACAAAAACACGTAAGACAGTCGTGCTCTTGGTGTCTGATTGGTTTTTCTGTTTCCCTTGCCTCCTTTCGCGTTCGCATAACAAATTTGTTTTTACGTTCACTTGAAGCATAGGATAGCATCAACCATGCACTCCTTTTTCTCAAATCTTTTAGCGGAGGCGCTCTGCAAGTTTATAATCGGAACCACATGTTTATTTTTGCTCATTTAAAATTTCATAATTAAATTTTAGATAATTATCCCACCTATGTTGAGGATTATCCCCCTGGGCGTATAACTCATCTTCACAAACATCATTAGTGTACCTTTCACGGATTAAAAAATAAATAATTATGTTCGAATTATGTCTGAGACACCCTATTTATTGAAAATATGTAAAATCATCAACATTGTATTTTAAAGTCGCTTGTCAAGCATATTTTATTTTTTTAAATTCTAAACTATGCATGTGTTTTATGCAAACATCACAAGGATTTTGTTAATGACGAATAGGCCATATGATAATAAATATTATTTTGTGTGTTTGTATGCACATCATTTTTAAGAACTGCATTGCTTAGCACCGTAAAATTTGGGGGGAGTTATTCTATAACCTGTGGTGTAAAGTTAGAGAAAATATAGATTATCAATTGCTTACTGTTCATTGTCTTTAAGAGCGCTTTCGACCTTGGCGTAGTACGCAGTGCTCTCTACAACAATAATTTGGGTATCTTGTAAGGAAACTTTTTTCTTCGATGTAGAAAATTCCTTTTTAATCAAATCTTTATAGTTTATCATCTGCAATGGAAGCAAACGAACACATAATATAAATCACCCAAGTATATTTGAGTTTGTAAAAAAAATCTTTTTTTTAGCAAAAGATTAAGAAACCTGTTGACCTGGCGATTGAAATCGACTCAAACATTTGCATTGTTTGTTCGAGTTTTATGCAAAGCCGTGGAAACCATGTATAGTTGATAAAAGTGGTGCTTTAAATAGAAAAAATGAAAGCCGCTTACAACCCCCTGTAACACCGTATTAGAGCGCACCTCTTGAGGAGGAGGAGGGAAGGGTACTGAGGGGGAGCGTATACCCCTCCTCCCTCCTCCTCACCTTCTCATCCTGCCTGCTGCTCTACCCTCTGAGCTGCGTCGGCGACGCTGTCGCCGTTGGCGTAACCGGGATGTCACATGACCATCGTGAAGTCACGTGACCCTCGTGACCTCAAGGGGTTCACGTGATATCACCGGGGTCACGCAAGGTCACCGGGTCACGTGACCACACCTGGGTCCCGTAACCTCACGGAGGTCACGTGACGTCACTGGGGTCACGTGGCCTCACGGGAGTCGCTTGACGTCATCGGGGTCACGTGACCTCACGGGGTCACGTGACGTAACCGGGGTCACGTGACCTCATGGGAGTCGCGTGACCTCATGGCTACGCCGACGGCGAGAGCGACGCCGCTCAAGGCGGAAACGGGAGCCTAAGAGCTGCGCTTTAAAAAAGTGAAAGTCGTTTACAACTCCGTGTAACGCCGAATTGGAGCGCAGCTCTTGAGGAGGACGGGGGAAGGGTACTAAGGGGAGGGTACACCCCTCCTCCTCCTCCTCCTTCTCCTCATCCTCACCTCATTCTTTAAGATGCTTCGGGGGGGGGGGGTCACCTGACCTCGGCGGGGTGGGGGGTGTCGCGTGACTTCGGGGGGGAGGGGGGTCACGTGACTTCGGGGAGGGGGCCACGTGACCTCGGGGGGTCACGTGGGGGTCATCTTGGGGGTCACGTGACCTTGAGGTGACCTTGGAAGGGGTCACGTGACCTCGGGAGGTCATGTGTCCTTAAGAGGGGTCATGTGTCCTTGGGGGCCACGTGACCTTGGGATGACCTTGGGAGGGGTCATGTGACCTTGGGGTGACCTTGGTTACGCCGACGGCGACGGCGACGCCGCTCAGGCCGGAAACGGGCGCCTAAGAGCTGCGCTCTAAAAACACGAATTACTTCTGTAAACATTGTTTCTCAAGTGAATCACGGAAAGAACAAAAGGGCTCTGAAAGTAGATGAGGTAGCACGTCATAATTATGCCTGAATTGTGTCGGCATCAACAGGGTTGATATTTTCATACGAACTCGAGTCTTCCTAGGCTCACATGCTGCTTTCCAAGATACAGGATTCTCCAAACAAAAACCAGCCATTAAAAGTTTTGTGTTTGTCTGACCTAACTGTGTTTTTCATGAACAACTTCGGAGTATAACAGTTCTGGAATGATGTCGCTGGTTCTTCGATGACTATTTAGAAGTGAAGACAGAAAAACACATGAAGTACTTCTCTAAACAAAGTTTCTCAAATGAACCGCGTTAAGAACAAAAGAGCTCTGAAAGTATATGAGGTAGCACGTCATATTTATGCCAGAACAGTGTCGGCAGCGTCAGGGTTGATAGTTTTATATTAATTCACAGGATTAATTTATTGTTGGTTTAATTATTACTATAATTTGACAATTTGATAACCACAATTTGATAACTATAATTCATAGCTCCAAAACGAACATGAAATTTGATGGCTCCATTGAGAAAGAGCTTTTTATGTGACAAAACGTTATTGTTTTTATCTAATACAAATTACTCAGTCTGATTGTGCGAGGTTTCGATACAAAACTCTTCATACGATTTTTTATCATCCCTTATCAATAAAATGCTCGGAGTGTTTTTTGTACGTCTGCGTTTTATTTTTGTCTTGCTCTCATAAAAAATATTTCGCCCTACCTTGAGAATACTGCGATCATTTTCATAAAAAATACAACTTTTAAATGCTATGAAGTGTGCATGGTATACGAATAAAATATTTTAATATTTGTGCCTTTTATGTGAACCTGCTCGTCCTGGCAACAGTAAATTGCGGTGGTGGTGAAATCGAAGATGCTTTCTGCATACCTCCTTTTCACGAAGTGTACTTGTTGCATCGTCCCCATACCAAGAGTAGAACATTTTTTTTAAATATTTTATTCCAAGTTTGTACTTTTCCTGCGCTTGCAGTGATAATGCAGCTTTATGCTTTTCAGTACAATGACCTTAATGTTTAACTTGTGCAAAGGTTCGCTTGCTCTTGTACGACCAAATGAAAGAAAACTTTTTAGTCATCGTGCAAATAAATAAAGTGTAGAACATGAGAGTTTTAATTATAATATGGGGTACTGCTATAGTTAAATACTTTTTGTAAAGTATTTAAGTATTTGAGTATGCAGATGAACAGAAAATGGCAAAAGAACTAGTGTTCTTAGAGATTGTGTAATGACTATCCAACTCTAAGTACGGAAATACAAAAAAATTCTCACCGTCGACTTCAATTCGTTATCAATGTTACCAAGTGTAGTCATTTTCATTGAGTCCTGCGGTGCACCGGTTCTCTTTAATAAAGAAGAATCGCGTTCGAGATTATTAGGTTTAATGGCCTTTGAAGCACAGATTTGATCTGACTCATGAAGGTGTCGAACGTAACATTTGAGAAATCTACGAGAAACAACTTTCAAATATAGAAGGATAATACACTAACCCCGTTGATAAACATCAAGAATGCTCGCAAACCGTCCCCTTAAGGTCACGGTCCCACCGATTTTTTCAATTTATGTTGTTATTGGCCGATCGTTACTCGTATCACTCTGAATATTTTTTTTAAGTTGTACTTTTATTTAAACGGCAGTATGATACTATTTTCTCTTAAATAGCTCATATTATAATTTCCTCTTGCGCATATTTATAGTGTCGCTTATAGGAAGGCTCGAACTCGTTTCTTCCTCCGCTAGCTATCGTTTAGTAAAGGGACCATCAACGATAACAATGTTCATACTTATTTTTGTCATGAGTATACTGAAGCAGAGGTGGACGAGGTTTTAAATTAATTTTTAATTACTTCGTTTTGTACAGGTCTCCAAATATAGCCGTAAAGTCGCAAAATGTCAGCACGGCGACCTTTTTGATTGTATAAACTATAGAACTTTAAAATCTGCAACAGACTTTGTTCCTGGCAATAGTTATATCCATAAAAAAGTTTCAAACGCATCTGTAAAGGTGTTAGTGAAATAAGTATTACAAACCTAGCAATATTTTATGTTTCAGATGATGGGAGTTCTCATTTTACTTAACGGATAATTGAACTACAGTAGTACAGCGAAACCCATTTAGAACGAACCCACATACATCGAATTATTGTGAATATCGAACTCATGGAAAGTTTAAAAAAGTACATTTAAAATATAGTTTTTTTAGCGAACAATATATTAAATATATTAAACTCCCCCCCCCCCCCCCCCCGGAAAAGCTTTCGAAAATGCGAACAATCGTCTTCTAGCCTGTCCCTTCCCCCAAAACACAAGTAGGAAAGAAAGAAAATCCCAAAAGCTCAAGTTGTGAACAAATTTTAGCGAAGAGAAGCGATTCAAAAGGCGAGAAAGCTAAAAAAAGCACTGTGCTTGCACGCACACACACACACAAAAAGAACTTTTCATCCCAAAGCGTTTGCCCTCGAAGAAAAGCGATTCAGAAGGCAAGATACGCTAAAAAAAAAAAAAAAACTCTGCACGCATGCAAAAACGAAACAGAACAAAAAAAAAAAAAACAACTTTTCAGCACGTTGTAACAAGGCGGAAGTGAAGAGATGATAAAAAAAAGAAGCTCTCGCCTTACAGCGAACGCATTGTGGATATTCATTGTAAATGTTTTTTGCTATATTTGCTATACTTCCTATATCGAACTGATCGTAGCGTTTCTTGCTGTTCGGTATAAACGGGTTTGACTATATATCTGATAGGGCGTGAAACCCTTGAGATATGCGAAGAAGTTTACGAGAGGTTTTGTTGAACATTAAACTGTTAATGCTGTAGTAGCCTCCGAAACATCTCTTTCGACGCATCTGCTTTATGGTCATATAAGACTAATGACATCTAATGAAACGGACTGTTTTAAATAGTCATATTATTCCATATCCGACTTACTTCCTTATTGCCACGCAGTTTCTTCATTTAGATAGAGGTACTTAAAAAAAGAATACTGTTTAGAGTCTTTTTTGTAATATCACCTGGAGGGAGGCCGAAGAGCCACCGATTTTTAGTGTTCATAAAATCATCGATGGCGGCGCTGACGCCTCTATCTTGATCATAGCTAACGTTATTTTAACTCGGCAAGCCAAAAATGCTCGCATGGCTTGCTGAAAAATGTAGGCCTCAGGTTGCGGGTCTGAATAATAAATAAATGAATTAGTGTTAGTATTTATTGGTGTAGTAATCAGATTCCCTAAATAAGGGACAGAGGAGATTATGTTTGAGTTTATTAAAAAAATCAAGGGTATCAACCTGTTTTAATCACGATCAGGATCAAGACGAGATCACGGTAGCGGGGTGTACAAGCAGATTGTGCCAGGCGCAATCACAACCTCGTTGCTTTGTCGGCTCTATTTCCCGTGATTAGCAGCGTATCTCCACTTTGCCTAAACACCAACTCAACCAACTTAGAAAATGCGCTTGCGCATTTTAGCTTTAGTCTAACGGGCCAGACGGAGAGGTGTGGCGACCGTTTGCTTCTCCCGATGGCTGAGAGCGGTCTCACGCTTTATGCCTCATGGGTCACCAGCAACTTGGTACCAACTGTAAGCTGTCAGGAGTGCCGCAACTCAAAGGCCAGTTACTTTGTTCAAAATTTGGATCTCAAGAAGACGCAGAAGGCAAACATATAAACACATTATCAGGATTGGGCAGAAATACTCAAAAATGTATTTTGAAATACAAATACTTGGATGCATAAAAATAGTAGCTAAAATACTGATACTAAGATATATCTGTAAAAATGTATTGCGGTACGTATCATAAATATATTTTAAAAAGAGGAAAAAGTATTTGAAAATACATATACAGGAATACATTATAGGGAGGGCACAAATACAAATACCGAAATGCTGATAGAGAAATACATTTTTCAAATTAGTTTGAAACGCCAACTGAGATGAACCTTGAAGTTTGAAGTGGAAGTTTTCGATCTCGGAATTACTTTCCCGTAGGCTTGGCACTTTGCCTTGAAGGTAGTGGTTTAGGATGACAAGGAGTCTTCAATGGGATCAAAAAAACGTTCCATCAAGGGCTGACTGCGGTCCCTTCCATGAGATCCTGTCTGTCTGACGAGGGAATCCTGTCAACATTGATCACTTGATGCCACGGTGGAATGAACTTGTATTCTTTTTCTGTAGGTGTGGCCTTGAACATGAAACTTCACCACGCTGCTGTATGAAAGGACAAGACGTACTTTCGTTGTAGGTTACCTAGTTGAAGAATGTAGTGTTATTCGGAATTTTTGAGAATAGTGGACCAGCTGAAGCATCCTGGAAGATGTGTCTTATCTTATGTTACGGTTGAAAAAAAGCAATACGATGGCATCCCTGTTCTGAAGGTCCCTACTGCCGAATCTCCGCCACCGACGCACGGATTACAGTCCTCAAGTTTTGCCTAGCATTATCCAAACAGAGACCTCGTGGATTGCGAGCTGATATTGCCGGCACAGGTGCGAACTGTCCGAGAAACAGCGCGCTCGAGACGAGTCGCAGGAGTATGAAGTCTGGGTGGGCACATCGAGGCCACGTCTGGCCTCCTTCCTGGGTCTCAGATCACCAGACCAGCGGGTCACGTTCACGAAGGCTTGAGCCGTGCAATATTACGGGCGCAGCCGCAGATGCATTCGAATATGCGTCGAACTTCACTGCGTGAGTCTTCCTACTATTTCTAGTCAACCGCCACCAGCCTTGTGCTGCAACGGAATGTTACTCAGCTTTGCCGGCTGGGTGTACTGTGAACGCTAAGGCAAGAAAGACTGTTAGCAGCGGGCATTGGATGCCAGCCAACAATGACTCAAGAAATCCCTACCCAAGGACCGGCGGCAGAAGATGCTCTGACTCCACTTCTGGCACGCCACCTGGTTCGAGTACCCGACTACGCAACACTTCTCAGGAAAGAGAAGAGGACGCATAAAAAATAGTTTGGAAAATCGAAAGGAACCTTGGTCAGCACAGTAACAATGCCCCAGCATCCCCTTGACCCTGGTGCCCTCAGAAGTAAAAAAAAAAAAAATGCGTTCGAACTTGTTTCTTTTTTTTTTTCGGGGGGAGGGGTTCTTTTTTTTTGGGGGGGGGGGGGGGGGGAGGGGGGAGTATTTCTTAAGAAATGTAACGAAATACATTTCATCCTGATTGTATCGCGATACAAACAAACATTCCAAATGTATTTCGATACAGGAATATAGATACTGGCGAAAAAATGTATCGCGTTACAGAAATATAGATAGGAAATGTATTTCTGAAATACTGATGCGAAACATTTGTATCGCGATACTGCCCAACCCTGCAAAGTATAAGGCATGGTGGTCCTATTGACAGCTGAACATTACCTCTGCAGAATGGGATAAAATGCTCAATCTCCGATTTTTGTTAGCATGTTTATCTTTTCTAGCCCTGGATTGCAAGGCGATGTTGCTTCCAACATACCAATTAAGCTACACTTCATGGGCAACTGAAAGACCTTCCTGCCGTTGTCATCTTCTCCACCTGGCAATACTAAAGATACCCATTTCACAAATGTCTATGGTGTAGGAAAGATAAGGGCGCGTGAGTTTAGCTCAGCAAAGGACTTTTCTGTGCGGGAACTCGAGTATTTAGGGCACTTTGAAGAGGAAAACGCTAGGAAATTTTACAGGCTTAAGGTTGTAAAAACCCTGTTGCACTCTTTCATCACCCTTATTTAGCAATAATAACCATTTCAATCGTAAAATAGGGTGCTGTCATTCATAAAGGTTTTAATAAGAATGTGCAACAGGGTACAGGGGTGAAGTCAGGCGAACCTCTTATGAAGAATGTTCGCCACGCTGATACCCACCTTAGCCGATGCTGTTTTAGCGACGACCTCGAATAAATATTGCTTGTACCAATGCTTTTTGGAGAGACATTCCTTGACGTAAGATATACAGGGTGTTTTATAAGCTTAACAAATTTGTTTTAAAAAGTTGTGGAAGCTACACTTATGCGGTTTTCGTAGGTAAATTACACAACTAGGGGGACACATTATTGGAGGCCAATCATAGCGATCAGACCGATAATTAAGTGAAAGTTTTTACTTCACTTCTCAACTAGTGAAAATAGATCTATGGCTCCAATTAGAAACATGCTGAGCGTCACCCAGAATCACTAAGTCAGTTATTTTTAGAAAGACTTTGAGCGCGTGAGAAGTGCAGTAGTGCCCTAAAGTTACCAATTATGCAGCAGGAGCAAGGCTACCGCTGTGATAACGCGCCCTCGCGATTTTTCCGTCTCTTATTACAACCCCGTGACCTCGTACCTGCTGCACGAGTGGTACCCATAGTGCACCACTACGCT